GACAAGTAAAAGTGGTCTTTGGTTGGTCCTCGGGGGCTAAGGCTATTTGATTGTACCCTGAATAGCCATCTAGAAAACAGTAATATTCCTTACCTGCTAACCTATCTAGCATTTGGTCAATGAAAGGCAAAGGGAAGTGGTCTTTCATAGTGGCTTTATTGAGTTTTCTGTAGTCCATACAGATCCTCCAACCAGTGACAATCCTAGTGGGTATTAGTTCTTTTTTATCATTTTCCACAACAGTGATCCCACCTTTCTTAGGGACACACTGTACTGGGCTAACCCAGTTACTGTCAGAAACGGGATAAATGATCCCAGCATCCAGCCACTTAATGATTTCTTTTTTTACTACCTCTTTCATGATTGGGTTAAGCCTTCTTTGCTGCTCTCTAGAGCTGCTGGTTGGGTCATTAAAAAGGATTTTATGTGTGCAATAGGAAGGGTTAATTCCTTTTATGTCTGCCAAAGACCAACCTATAGACCTCTTAAATTTTTTTAAAACAGTCAGCAATTGTTCTTCCTCTAACACAGTGAACAGATTGGATACTATGACAGGCAAGGTGTCTTTTTCCCCTAAGTAAGCATATCTAAGGTGATTAGGCAGAGGCTTGAGTTCTAACACAGGGGGCTCTTCAATTGAGGCTTTGGGAATTTTTAACCCTCTCTTGGCCAATTCTAAGGACTCGAAATTTTTATTTTTCCAAACCACATCAGTTCTGGAATTCAACCACTTAACTACTTCCTCAGAATCAGTTTGACTGATTTCTAGACCCTCAAAACCAGAATTTTGTAAAGAGTCTAATGAGGACTCATGCAAAAATTTATCTTTGACTACACAGTCAATGATATCTAGTCTAGAACATTCCTCAATGTCTCTTGGGTATTTCATGGCTTTTAAAATATTAAATTTTACTTGTTCACCATTCACATTCATGGCCAACTCACCCTCCTTAACATCTATGACAGCCCCACCAGTGGGTAAGAAAGTCCTTCCCAAAATAATTGGAACCTCTCTGTCTTCCTCATAGTCTAAGATTATAAAACCAGCAGGTAGAATAAATTTATCTACTTTCACCAAAACATTCTCTACTTTCCCTTCTGGATAAACTAGAGACCTATCAGCCAACTGTAATGAGACAGTGGTGGGATTAGGCTCTCCTACTTTCAGCTTTTTGTACACACTCAAAGGCATTAAGTTGATACTAGCACCTAAATCACACAATGTTCTGCCTATGTAGTGGTCTCCTATGGTACAAGGGATTGTAAAACTTCCTGGGTCTCCTAGTTTAGGAGGTATCTTACTAAGAAGATATTGACTGCTCTCTTGTGTAAGAGCAACAGTCTCAAACTCTTCTAGCCTCCTTTTTCTTGAAAGAATTTCTTTCATGAACTTCACATAAGAGGGCATTTGTTCCAATGCATCAACAAATGGAATGTTGACATGCAACTGTTTTAGGAGGTCTAAAAATTTCCTAAACTGATTATCTTGCTTCTGCTTTTGCAACCTTTGAGGAAAGGGTGGTGGAGGTCTTTTTGAAGCAGCATGTGTCTCACTATTTGGCTTAGGGGCCGAACCCTTTTGAGTGGGTTTTTCAATGGAATTATTCCCTAAAGGCTCATCTATAGAGGACTGATTGTCTGGTTCAACCAGAATAGGTAAGGAGTTACTGTGCACAACCCTTTGGGGGATGTTATGAACAACAGAATTCTGAACAGGTTCAGAATTTGCATCCTTTTCTTTCTACATGTTCTCCCCTTCTCTCTTTTTTAATGTGGAAGGTCTAACCACAGCTTCTGGCTGATTTACAGATCTGTCATTTCTAAGCTCTATCATATTGCATTGCTCTTTATTTCTCCTAGGCTCTTCAGTGTTACTAGGCAAGGTACCAGGAGGTCTGGTATTCATAGTGTTTGCTAAATGGCCTAGTTGGGATTCTATGTTCCTCAAGGATGCTGGAATACTTTGCACAACAGCTTCCAAGCTGTTTTGCTTGGTCTCATTTTTAGCCAAATATTCCCTCAACAAAGCTTCTAAGGAAGATGGTGGAGCAATAGGCAGCTCATTAGGCTGAGCAAAAGGTTGCTGCCTTGAAGGTTGTTGGTAATTTTGGGAGGGAAAAGGTGGTTTGGTTTGAGCATTGGAGGGGCCAGCTTGCTGCCCTTGCCCTTGGAAAAATTGAGGCTGTTGATTATGCCTCCATCCTTGATTAAAAATAGTGGAAAAATTATTTTGGTTTCTATTTTGATTTCCCACATAAAATACAGATTCTGGGTTGGATGGGCAACTATCATACAAATGGGGCCCACCACAGCAAACACAAGTTACACTTGTGTTTATTGCGTTAACTTGGGGTTGGGTTGCAGGTATTTGAGGTGTAGGTACAGGAACTTGGGATTGGGACAATCTTGCCTCAATGGTTTGTCCTTGGGTTCTCACTAAATTGGACAATGCATCAAACTTAGCTGAAAGAGCTGTTACAGGGTCTATCTCATGTAAACCAGCCACTCTCCTAGGCTGATTTCTCTCTTCAGGCCATTGGGCATAATTTTGAGTCATTTGTTCTAACAACTCATGGGCTTGGTTAAAGGACATAGTCATAAACATGCCATTAGCGGCAGAATCTGCCAAGGCCCTGTTTTGAGTATTCAGGCCATTGTACAGGGTTTGTAACACTGCCCAAGAGGGCAAACCATGGTTGGGGCATTGCTTAAGAAGGTTCTTGTACCTCTCCCACACATCCACTAGTGTCTCTCCATCCCTCTGCATGAAGTTAGCAATATCACCTCTAGTTTGCACTATTTTATTGGAGGGGAAAAATTTCATGATGAATTTCTCAGCAAGGGTGTGCCAATTGGTTATGGAGTTGGATAGAAGGGAGTTCAACCACTCTTTGGCTTTATCAGCCAGTGAATGAGGGAATAACTTCAATCTTAGCACATCATCCGAGATGTTGGGATTCCTAAAAGTGTTGGCCACTTCTATGAAATTTCTAAGGTGCTTGTGTGGGTCTTCCATCAACAACCCATGAAACTGCCCCATATTTTGGAGCATGGTGAACATCACAGGTTCTAACTTAAAGGGCACTTCATTCACAGGTTGGGCTATGCTTGGATCTAACTCATCCAACACAGGTATGATGAAGTCCATCATGGACCTATCATTGTCATTTATGACAGGTGGGTCCTCTATCCTTGCAGGTCCTCCTACCCCATCATTCCCATTTACACTTCCTAAATCCTCCATTTCTTCAATTTCTAGAAGTGGAATTTGCCTATGTGCTTTCTGGGCTCTTCTCCTAACTCTAAATGTCCTCTTAGGTTCAGGGTCAATTGAATCTATGAACGGGTGTGGAGTTGCACTCATGCACCCCTTTTAACTAAAACAGGTAAACCTGACTTAGCTAAAACACCTAGATTACTAACCAACTTTTATGCAGAACAATCAAAAAATAAACAAACAAGAACCTGCAAACAGAAAAGTCCCAAGACAGTTCACAGCCTGACGGCTTTATAAGGCAGTAACAACTCACCCTCACACAGGGTGAAACTAATAATTAAAATAAAACTGAAACTAAAAAATTTAGAAACAAATTAACAGCTATGAAACAACAGAACAGAAAATTAAATGACAGAGCAATCATATAAAACATGCAACAAAACAGAATATGAACATAAGAAAATTCTAAGCTACCAATATTCGAGAGACTACAATAATATTTACTAACACAATATAGAAACAGAATTCAAATTAAGCTAAAATAAAAATAGCAAAAAGAATTAGCTCAGAAACAACAATCACAAAGAAATCTGACAATGTACGCCTTCGATCCCCGGCAACGGCGCCAAAAACTTGTTGTCTTGCTAACAGTTGTGCAAGTAATGCGCGCAAGTATACGCGACAACAAGTAATATAGGGCTGTTATAAGTCCCAGTTATCGTTCCCACAAGGATCGTTGGCGTTTTGAAATGACTAAAATTTGCAATTGCTTAAAACTGAGTTACTATTTGAAAATAAAAGAAATGAAATTGTAAAGTAAAAATAATTTAGAATGGACCTAAAACACTACTGTTCACTTTTCTTTTAAAATTTTCTGAATTACTTTCCTAAGTTATAAAATAAGGAGTAAGAATGAAGCAATTTTAATGACAGATGTGACAAAGATTTTGGAAACAGAACAGAGATTGAAATATGAAATAACAAAGGAAATTAGAAATCTGAGTTGATAAAGAAGTTCAAAAAGGTGGGTTGAGTTCTGGCTCTCCTTCCCCACAGTGCTTGAAAAATAATTTGATTAACAAAAAAACTCATCCTAAGATTCTCAGTTAACAGAACTGTATTGTTAATTTTAATCTCTTAAAAATTATTTTATCCCAAAGTTGCCCACTTCCATATCTCTATGCCAAGTGGGATTAGGACTCTTGAGACTCAGGTCCAACATTACATGAGGTCTCATTCATTTCTGAAATGAGATCCCTTAGATGATTTCTCATCTAAGTCCATGTGTCTAATGCAGAATCCAGAGTTAGTTGTTTCTCAACAACTAAATCCTAACCAAACCTCTGACATTCGGCCAAAATGCAGACAATTTTAAACATTAGAAAAAGCATTAAACAACTGAGATATAAAAATTAAAACCATAAAACCAAACGTTTAACAAGCACTGAGGTTTGGGTATCACCTAAACCCAACCACTAAAAAGTTAGCCACTATCCATATGGATGAAGCTTACAAACAGTAACAGAGAACTACAGAAATCACAAAATAAAAATTCTAAAAACTAAATTACAGCACTGGCCTAACAACCGGCAATCTCAGTGCTGTAAAGACATGCATCAAGTTCATCAAATGAACCAGAATCTCATTACAAAACAGAACTTAAAAGAAAATAAAATAAAAATTGTTCAGAAAACAAAAACTAAAAAACGGTAAATCAGAACCAGAAGAGATACACGTGACTCACTCCTCAGTCCCTTTTATAGGGCTCATTTCCTTCTTTGCACGATTTTCTTCTCCAGCTCAGCAGGGGTTACGCGCTTCTCGCGCGTTGCAGGCATGTGGTCCCTAGCAGCTCCCTCCTAAGACAATCCGAATGGAATTTTTTGCTCATTTAACTCGTACGTAGACTTGCGCCCACAAATCGCTCCAGTCTCCACTCTCAAAAAGTATCCAGCTCATCCACTCAGCAAGAGGTTGTTGTTTTGACGTTTTCTGTATAAGGAAGGGGTGACTAGGGTTTGGTTAATCTCTCAATGAACCGTGGTTGAGGGTTAATCTTGACAAATAAATTGAATACAGAGAACGGTTTGGCTTTGCAAATCGATTTGTGGCAAGGAACTTTGGATGGGTGGTGTGGATTTGTGGTCGAATGATGGTCGGTCTTTGTCGCACAATGTGTGCTAGGGTTTTCTCTCAGCCCTTTTCTTCTCGTTTCTGACTCTGTCTCTTTCTTTCTATCCCTATCTCTTTCTTTCTTTAATTTTCCTTCATCTGGGCTTTTTGATTGACAACAGGTCCAGCCCATACCTTTTCTTCTTGCTTTTCCTGATGAATGTTAACAAAATGGGCCTGTAAATAACAAGTTTAAGCCCATTAGCACTTAAGCCCATTAAATTTCAGCTCAACATGAATTTTTGGGGTATTTTAATCACAAAAGTCATTCATTTCTCACCAATTACACTCTAAACCATATGTTCTAAGTCTCATTAAAGAGACTTATCACCACGCTTACCATGGAAACAAGAACATAGAGAATATATGGGTTGATATACAGGGCAAGGAATAAAAAGTAGAGAAAGGGTTGTGGTGAATGGTACCAAGTGAGGGTTTGAAGATAGTATTGAGCACGAGAGAGAGTGGCCAAGAGCAAGAAAGAGAGAGGGAGAAGAAGGTTGAGAAGTGTTATGGCGAGGAGGTAGAAGACCTCTTTAGGGGTGGGAACAGCATAGTTGAAGAACTCTTCGGCTTTTTTCCACCAACCCATTTGTTTTGAAGCAATCATAAGCACTGAAACTAACACCACCTCCGCTCCTCTTTTATATACAAGCCACTTAGCCACGGGAAGTTCAACATTGTAACCAGTAGAAATGTTTTAGAGGAGGAGAACAACAAGTAAGAAGAACGAGCAAGAGTCCCTTATTCAAAGTTTAAGGACCATTATTCAAAGTTTAGGGACCATTAGTGTTAGTGAGGCATTGTTACACCTGCATAGATTATTTGATATTTTCAAGTGTTAGTGAGTCTGTTGGGACCATTAGTGTTAGTGAGGCATTGTAAGTACTGGTTGGGGAGGTTGGGTTAGTTAGTCAAGTTGTGTAGGTGTATGAATAAAACTTGGCAGTGTAACCTGATTCGCATTCTTGAATATTGTTAAAATTTTCAATCTCTTTCTCTCTTTTTTAAGTTAGAAGTTATTTATAAATATTTTGAGAAAAACTCTTATAATGAAAAATTCTTTTTTTTTTTAATGAAAAAAAGCTTATAGCTAAAAGCTTCTAGAAGGAGCTTTTTTTTAAGTTTTTATCTGCTTTTATAGAATTGTGCGTTTTTTTTTTAAATGGAGAGTTATATAGATAGATAGATAGATAATTTTATTGAAATATGTGCTTTTAAGTAATTTTTTCGCTAAATCTTTTATATAATTATCAAACAGCTTTTAGCTTTTTATTTTAAGCTCTTATTTTTTAACTTTAACTTACGAGTAGCATCTAGCTTAAAAAAAATAGAGAATCCAAACAGGCTCGAAATGAAATTTAAAAAGTGGTTGCCCTTAGTTAGCTGACATTTTTTTTTTTTTTTTGGGTAAAATAGTTGGTTGACATTTTACTTGATAGGGTCTTGGATCTTTTTAGATATTTAGACCACTTAAATAAATACACACACATGTATTTATGATATATATACATGAATTATATCAAATTCAATCTCAAGTTTATCTTTTAAGGCTCATTGGTTTGATACGGTTTGAACACTGATTTGGCTGCAAATTTGACGGAGGAGGTTACGTAATCTTGTTAATTAAGCATAAATAAATGCAATTTTATGCATAAGAATTTATGATATAATATAATGGAGCAACCCTGCAAATAAGACTAATAAATATCCTCTCTCTCTCTTTTTCGGTAGATAATAATTATAATTAAATATCCTTTTTAATTATATCCCCGTGCCACAAATTTAAATGTTATCCTAATTAATAGGAGTCAGTATAATGTGGTAGTATAGTAATCGAAATGGATGTTATCACATAAATATCAATTATGAACCAAATTCTTTTTCTTTTTGGCTTGAAGTAGAGGTGTAAATGGGCTAGACCGGCCTACAAGGGCCTACGGCCTGGCCTATATTAGCCAAACTTGCCTATTATAAATAGTAAACTAGAACAGGACTAGGCTTTTACAAATACCTATTTAGAAGATAGGCCATAGGCTTTTTTGTACATGTCTGGCCTATAAGCCTACAGGTCGGCCTATATCATATTATTTATTTAAAATATAATAAATAAAATTAATATTTTAATAATTTTGAATAATAAAATAATATTATATTAGTTATTCTTTTAATTGTTGAATGTTTAATAAGCTTAAACAAGCTAACAGGCCTAGGTCAAGGATTTTATTTTTTAAATATAGATCAGGCCAGACTTGTAATTTGAAGCCTACACAGACTAATAGGTCAGGCCATACCCAATGTTTTTTACAAAGGCTTGGCCTATTTAAGCCAAAGTCTAGCCTAACCCAGCCCATTTACACCCCTAGTTGAAAGGATACAATTTAGGCTGTTGGTTACAAACTAGTGCATTATCCGTGCATGCACGGAGAAAAAAATTAAAATTGATTTATTTGTCTTGTAAAGTTTAACGGAACTCGTAAAAATATATTTATACATTGTAGCTTCTTTTGTGGTCATTCAAAAATTGTAAAGTTTGACTCCACTTTTTTCAACATTTATCATAGATGAACTTTCATTTATCACAATCAAATTTAAAAAAAAAATAATAAATAATTATTTTTTGCAAGGATTTGTGTAGTTAGTATTTGAAATTTTATAAATTTGTATTTACAAAAATTGAAATTAGATTTAGGAATTTAATTATAAAAAAAGAAGGATGAAATTTTAATTCAATTATAAAACTAAGTTAGCAGGCGGGGTGGGCATGTCCGGTTAGTTTGCCACCTCTAACTATCAGCATTTTATATAAATAATTATTTTTTTACAAGGAATTGTGTCCATATTATTTTGAATTTTAGAAATTTATATTTACAAAAATTGAAATCATATTTATGAATTTAATTATAAAGGAAAAATGATGAAATTTTAATTTAATTATAGAAATATGTTGGTGAGGGCCGAGCCTAATTTGTCATCTCTAACTATCAGCATTCTACATCAGCATGTAATAAATTTTTATATTTATCCACACAAAAAAGGTGGTTTTTTCACCCTTTTGCTCCTTATTAATTAATTAATAACTATTTTTCCCCTGATTCGAAACTATTTATCAATCTGCCCCTCTTTAATCGACTACCTTGCATTTTTAATCGACTAAATGGCCAAAACAGATAAAAAATGGCTGTTGGGAGATTTAGTCGACTAAATCTCCCTATTTAGTCGACTAAATCTCCATATTTGACAAAAAAAAAAAGAGTAGCCAGTATGATTTTAATCGATTAAGTAGGGAGATTTAGTCGATTAAATCTTCCAACAACCATTTAGTCGATTAAACATGCAAAGTAGTCGATTAAAGAGGAGCAGATTGATAGATAATTTCGAATCAGGGGCAAAATAGTTATTAATTAATTAATAAGGGGCAAAAGGGTCAAATAGCCCAAAAAAGGTTCTTATAGTTGCGTTTAGATTATTATATATCTATGTTTTCTATAGTTGCCTCTAAATTGACTCTCTGGGGAGTATGTATTTGTGACATATATAATAGATAAAGAGTTGAAAAATATTTAAGTTCGTACGTTTAATATTCTTTCAAACATTTTATAGTTGAAGTTGAATAGGATAACATCAAAAGACATTCATTAGATTAATTGCATAATAATTATTATTATTTGTAGGCTTAACAATTTTCGATGCTGGAAGTAGTGGTATTATTAATAGGCTTAACAATCACTCATACAGAAAGTAGTTAGATATTAATATAGTTGTTCGACAACCAAAATTTTAAACTTTTTTCCCGCCTATGAACTTTAAATTTTGAATTTGAATTTGACTAATTACTAATTAAAAGATGAAGTATTTCAAAATGGTTTAAATGTGAACATAAAATGGATATTGAGAAAAAGAGGACACATTAGCAAAGTTTCTAAAGAATGATTCTCAATTATAATATAATAGATAGAATCTCTTAATTATTTTTTATGACGTTTTTAAATCGTTGTCTTTGGCTTTTATTTTATGGACTCTAAACTTTTTGGATCCTTAGTCTTGAAAAAAAAAAGTAATAAAAAAACCTCATGAGTTTCCCGCTTTGTTGTTTATAAACTTTTTCCACTTCTCAAATAGTTTCAAGTCGAAAACCAAAAAAGCTAAAATGTCATCAATGCTTTCTAGTTATCTACGCTAATTATATTTATTTTACCTATTTTTTTTAATTGCATGTTTATTCACTTAATTACATTTATTCCACCTATTTTGAATTTTTTAAAGTAAATATCTCAAAATTTATTTTTTAAAACTTTTAACATAAATTATTCTTGAACATAAATTAAAGAAAATAAAAAAAATTATAAAAAATATTTAAAACCAAAATGGTCCCGTAACAAAAACATCAAATGTTGCTAGGCTAGGCTCTTCTAATTGCTGTAAATCATAGCAGACGATTTAAAATAATGAGATTTAATATTTTTTATGTACTAAAGACTTAATATATTTTTTATTAAAACATGCTGCATAAATGAAAAAAAAAAATTCAAAAAATAATTTTTAAACTATTTTCAAAATTTCTTGAAACATAAACCGAAACTAATTCAAATCCAGGTTAAGAAAAGAAAATGGAAAAAGAAAAGAAAGAAAAACACTACAACAGAGAAAAAACAACAAATGGTCCAAGTTATGTCAAAAGAATCATCAATAGAATTAGTATGTACCAGGCACCGGCGACAGAAAAGGTTATCAAAAGAATCTAATGCAGCACTCAGGCTTTTCCCTGGACATATGTCAATAGGAGATTCATATTTCCCTGAGCCTTCTGAATGCTGGTCCAACCTACCAATATTCTTTTCCTTGATACTTTTGTATCTCTCCTGCATATTTTCATGAAAACAATTTCTCTCAGAAATTAAAATGGCTTCTCACCATAAATCCCCATGGTGCAATTTATATTTTCCATAATAAAGGTAAAAAAAAATCATCAAGCATAACATATAATAGTGTCCCAAGTTATTGATTACCTGAATTTCTAAACTGGTGCCCCCAACAAACTGGCTAAAAATATTCAATACCTCGTCATTTAACCCATGTTCCTCAAATGCCATCCTAGCAAATTCAAGAGTCAAGACGGTATTTCAGGAAAAGAGAAACTTTGAATGCTTGAATAAAGATTGAAAATTATGAGCTACAAGTTTAAATATGATATTAAAAAACTCATGTGGTCATGATACAAGTCTTATTTCCTGAACACATGAGCAGCAAGGAAAAACATTTAAGCTTCAACGAAGCATCTATGTCAATTGTCATTTAAATATGATAATTAAGGATTTATATAGCCAACCAAAAATGTTATAATCAGGATCAATTGTTCTTATTTCGTCGAATCTTCCTTCACAAATAAATGGACCTTATTCTGGCAACTCTGTTATCTTCATTTTAGCTTACCATAGAACACGGTCCTCAGCCTCGGAAAATTCATGTTTTTCTTCTTCAGGTTCTGTTGACTCTTCCTCACTGTCACTACATATCAGTGCTTCACTTCCATGTTGATCATAGTATATACGTCTTCTTCCAACAACTGACTGATCTTCGGCCATCCTCTGATTTCTGATGTGTGTGAAAGATTTTAAAATAGCAAAACTACATTATATAATCTGCATACTAACTGATTAATAGGTTTTGAAATCTCAGTTTCAATTTTAAAATGGAATACAATTCAAGAAGCAGGAAATTTCAATTTGGAAAGAAATGCACATCAGGCATAAAAGGACAGAAAATTAAAATAATTATTAGTCAAACACCTGTCCAAAAATATCCAAGATGTATATGGTGGCAATTTTTCAATATATGGAATCTTGACACTTGTAGCAGATAAAACTTCTTGATTGCTGTGGTCTCTGTCTCCTGAAACTTGAGAGAAACCACTGAATATGCATAAAGGATGGTCAATTCTTGAAGAAAGCATTGGATTTTTCCTATTTTCCTCCGTCTTTGAAGATTCCCCTACTGATATTGCTGACATGACCCCTGAAATATGACATTGTAGCTTCTTGTCGAAGTTTTTCCTACAGAAATATAACTAAGATTAATTGCAAGCTGACGAAAGAGGTGTACAAAAGGAAGCCATCTCAACCACAAACTTTTCAGTTAAATAAATTCAGGTTCAAATTAGCAATCATAACATAAAGTTGTACCACGACACACAGCTTAAGTAAATCTATTGCTGAAAGCTCATAAAAAAAGATTCAGACCCATATAACCAAACACACCAGAAAATTTACCACGATGTAAAAGCAAAAGGAAATAGAAGGATTTCTTGTGGTACCCTAGTCCTGCTATCTACTGACTAATTAGGTGGGGGCAAGAATATCAACAATGGATGTTATCTGACTGTTAGTTGAGAAGTCTCAAGGTTCTTAACATGGTATCAAAGCATGCTGTTTGCTTGTATTGGCCCCACGTGAAGGGCTTATATAGTCTTGGATTGTGGGGTGTCGCCATCTTTGGCAGTGGAGTTATCCACCAATTCGGCGGTGGCGCTGCAAAGTACATCATTGACATTCTGGGCTTCACTGCGTTGGTCAGTGCTCTGTGTCTCACGCTTATAAACCTTCCATTTGACAAAACCTTTAAAAAATATATAAATAATAAATTATAGTGATTTTGTTATCCTATCACTTAATTGTGTAAGAATTATTATGCAAAAGGCACTGTTTATTGAGAAAAATAAAAAGAGAATGTGATTAATGGCAATATGTTCATTGGAAATTTGTGATTGTGACAGTGATATTGAGTTGATTAGAAACCAACCTGAAGGGCATCCCCAACCACGATGAAGAATAGTGGATATCTGAAGGTTACCTACGTTGTTGGACCGCATGGTGGATGGTCAAGATCTGAGGGTCAAAATGCTCCCCAAACCCAATATTGTTGTTGTTATTATTATTATAATAAATGGTGGGTCCAACACATAGAACCAAAGTAGTTCTATTCTATGACAATCACGTTACATGGGTTTACCATCAGCCAGGACTTTCTTTAAGGCAATGGGAGTACTTGAGTCATGCTACTACGAATATAAATAGGTTAGGCGATGGATTTAAGGAAATTTATTATAAATAATGAGATAGATAGAGTTAGACTTTTAAAGAAATTTATTTAAAAAACAGGCAATGGGTTTTGTTTGTACGTGTCTGGTCTACAAGTTTATAATTCAGCCTATATTATATTATTTATTTTAAATAAAATTATTATTTTAATAATTTTTAATAATAACATAATATCATTTTAATTATTTTTTAAAATTATGGAATATTTAATAAGCTTAAACAGAGGACAAAACTATTGTTTGTTAAATATAAGTCATATCAGATTTGTAATTTAGATTTACACTAACTAATAGGTAAGGCTAAATTCAAAAAAAATTATATAAATCTAATTTATTTAAGTCAAAACCTAATGTAATTTTTCTTATTTACACCACTAGATACAGCGTAAGCGTAACTTCTTGCCCAAATTTTTTATTTATAGGCAGAATTGTGACCAATAATGTGTCATGTGTGAGCCGAAAAGGGTACAAGTTCGGTTATAACTTGACTTAGGATAGGAATCGTTATGACCCAGCACAGAAATCGGGGGGGAAAGTACAAAAATTTAATATGGTAAAAGGATTATAATAATTTATTATTTAATTAGTGGCGATGATTTTAACATTTTTTATTTTAATATTTTTTCTTTCAACTTTTTATCACTATTAACCTCTCAGATAACTCTATCATATTAAATAACAATACATTCCCAAAAGAAAAAAAAAATTGTGCAACTTAAGTTATTCATGCTATTATTTAGATATATTTTTCTTTGAAATTAACTCAATCTTAATTATCTCTTTGAGACAAATTAATATTCCTCTAATCTTTTCGTAAGCTTTGACTTTTTAAGACAATTAAAATACTAATCTGAGATACGAGACGTGTAAAAAATGAAGATATTTAAATTTCATCCAATGGTGACATGTGAGTAACAAACCAAAATCTTTTTATTTTCATGAGTCCCTTGCTATTAAAGACCTGCCACCATTTGATGGTATATTCCATTGGTTTCCACCATAGAAGGAGTTTTGTCACCAACCAAATTAGTGAATAATCACGAGAAATTTCAAAAAATGAAAAATAAAAATAAGCAGTATACTTAAAAGGAAATATATGCCTTATCATAAGAAAGTTATCTTATGTTATACAGTAATAAAATTTTATACCAAATTTTTATTTTTTATTTTTAGTTGTAAACCCACATATTATGTTGCATAAGAAAACTATCTTATGTTATACACTCATAAAATTTTATGTCAAATTTTTATTTTTTCTTTGTAGTTATAAACCCATATATTTGTTTCACCCATATAAGAGTACTATCTCCAATAATATGAGATTAGTAACTGATCAGTCTAATACAATATGGGTTGGCCAATATGTATTGGGCCTAATCACACTCGGTTGATGTGAGAAGACTTTGAGTTGGGTTGTCTGTTTTCTGGGCTGTTGATGATATGATGGGTATGATTCTCCATTGGCGCTATAATAACCATCACTAGTAGTTGTGGATTTAATATTGAAGAATAATTAGAAGAAAAAGAAATAAAGTCACCTTTGGTGAAAAAAGAGTTAAAATGATAGTTAAGGGGTAAAAATACGGTAAGCAAAGTTACCCGAAAAGTGAAAGTAAAGTTAGAAATATGACTGGAAAAATATTCTACTTCATTGGGTAAAGTTTGGTATTGAATGGAGGCCTGTAGATAGATAAGTTGTTACCCAGATAAATTAACTTAACCTACTTCCTGTTTAGAAACCGTGACATTTTCGCATTCTTTCTAGTCTTCCTGCATTCTTTCTTTCTTTCTTTTTTCTCTCACCCGCAACATCTCCATGGAAGCTTGGCTTCAAGCTTTTCCTTCCTTGATTTCTCACTCTACAATCATCCAAATTCGAAAGTGCATTAGACGAAATTTATAGTAAATCACCCAAGGAATCCATTCCACCATCTATTTTGGGCTGAAAGTACTTGTAGAAAGAGATATCCTCTTCCCCCAATTCGGATCAATATTCATCAAGGAGAGAAATTGGGAATTTTCATGGAGCTTTACTTGGAGGTTGTTCTCTAGGCTTGGTATAAGGGATTAGAGGTGAGAAATCTCTATTTCCATGGTTTGATTTTTGTGATTTAAGTCTTGAAAGTTTGAAGTATGTTTTGGTGGGGAATTTTGAGTTTGAAATTAGAAATTTGTGATGAATTAGTGTTGTGTAGTAAGTTGTAATGTAGAATAACCATGAACATGTGTTTAAAAATTTAAGAAAAAGTCCCCTTGAACCACCCTAGAATTTGGCCATGATAGGTATTTAGGGTTGATGAGCAAAAATTTAATTGCATAAATTGTGAAGGTTTGAATATTGGTGTATGTTGAGATTAAGTGTGAAAGTGAGATTACATGGTGGAAAATCCCTTGAAAACCTACCCTATGCATTTCGGCCTTTAGGGTATTATTAGGGAAAATTATGTTAAAATTATTTTGATGATGTGGTTAGGTCCTAATGCATGGCTTTAGTATGATTTTGAAGTTAAATGATTTAAGACATAATGAGAAGCACCTTAGCTCCTTTGTATGTCAAATAGGCAAAGTTAGGCTTAAAATTGTTATGAAAATATATGAATAATTAGGGGCTAAGTGTGGATTCTAGGAGCTATTGTTGTGTCAATTATTTGATGCAAATCCCTAGCTTTTTCCTTGTTGTGGTTTCGGCCATGTAGGCTTTGTGGGGACTAGGAATTGTTAAAAATTATAAATGGTATTTTAGAAGCTTGGTTGGGTCATTTAAGGACCCTAGGTAATTATGAAAACGAGTGGTTGCTTGTGTTACGAGTAATCATCCGTAAATGTGTTAAATAATGATATTAAGAAAGGATGGTCTTGACTTGTAAATTGGCATACACGAAAAGAAATGAAAGTAAACAATAAAATGTATGTCTTGTGATTACATGGCATTGTAGCATTTTATTGAGCTTCGTTTTGGATTCTGTCTCTAGGTGTGCCTAGCGACTGAGCGTCTTTGGATTTTCTTTGGAGCTAAATAGGTAACTTGTGTTACAAGTGAGCAAATCGGTAAAGCTTCAAGAGGTAAGCTCTATGTTTATGGGATTCACTCATACTTTGTGTTCCGCCATAGTGTACGGACTGGGGTCGGGTTGTATGATATGTATGAGATATATGATATAGATGCATTCATATAGAGCTATATGATAATATGATATGTTTTATTTTGATGTGATTTCTGTGATGATCTTTGACCATTGATCCTTGTGCACTGATGTCTGCTTGGGGTCCTACCTATGGACTGACTATGTACATCTCTGATATGTTTTTGGTTCTGCTTGGGGTCCTTCCTTGGGAACATGTGCACTGATGTCTGCTTGGGGTCCTCCCTCGGGACTGACTGTGTACACCTCTGATATGTTCTGGTTCCGCTTGGGGTCCTCCCTTGAGAACACGTACATTGATTTCCGCTTGGGGTCCTCCCTCAGAAATGACTACGTACATCTTTAATATGATAGGCTTTGTTCTGATGTGATTATTAGGATGATTTTCGTAAATGAATTTATGTGCGTTGATTTCCGCTTGAGGTCCTCCCTTGGGAAATACTATGTGCTTCTCTGATAAGATATGTATATATGCTCAGTTTAGTTATGATATTTGTTACGTGCGTTGATTTTCGCTTGGGGTCCTCCCTTGGGAAATACTGCGTGCATCTTTGATAAGATATGTGTATATGCTTGTTCAACTATGATATTTGCTTATATGATGTTTTGTATATTATGTATCTGACTGTCATGCAGGAAGTGAGCCCAGGGTATGGAGAGTTTTCCATAAACTTGGAGCTTACTAGAGATTCGTCTCTAACCCCGTTTGGGGATATGATTTCAGGAACACAGTTAATTGAAGAGCCCTCACGGGACAAGGACACTACCTGTGGCTAGAGGTACTAGTATGAGGATATGGAGTTCTGGGTGGCCGGACGCTACTATTTAATACAGATGTTATTTTTGGAGAATATGTACTGTTGTATAGTGTTCTATTCATTTTGGGATCATGATGTTTGATCCATTATAAAATATATGGTCTGTATATGTTTTGTACATGTGTTCATATTTGATGCATGTACATTTGTGCATGTGTTGAAATATGTATGCTGTTAGACATAGTGGTACGGAGCTAGTTATGCATGCACCCATGGATGGGTATATAGTCCTATATAGATATCTGGTATTTCTGAAATCATATATGGTATAAACTGTTTATCAGGAACCTTGGAGAGTGGGATTGACAAATCCCCAGTTGTCTAATTTACAGAGGTTACTCTGCCCGATTTTTGTTTTCGTCAAATACGAATTAAATTAAGAGAAATATGCAATGTGAGATATCATGTAAATTAAGATTAATGAAAAAGAAAAAAAAAATTAGCTCGTATTTTTGTAAGTTAAGTCTTCCGTTGTTTCTGTTTGTATCATATGTATGTTAATTAAACCGACTTGAGACGAGGATGTTACAGACGCGATGATCCAGAGGGGAGTGTACCTGCAATGACATTCTGACGCTCAAGTCAGTATCAAAGTCAAGCTTATATAGTGAATCAGATACTACCTTCGATAAGCGATGTAACTTCTAATTGGCTGTAAATGAGTTGCAAGTTCAACTGGTGTTGCTCTGGCCCTATCCCATTATATCATGCTATCTTGATAGAGTAGTGGCAAACTAGTGCTGTCTCTTGAGTATTGGTTCTATAGTGCGGTGGCTTTTTACCTATTTAATCACTTACTTCACTATGAAATTATGTTAAAGACGATTTAGCATCGCGCCTCTAATTTCTTATGCGCGATATGGATATTGCACATTGCTTGGGCCCTTAACCCTTTACGGGCCTATTGTGGTTGGACTTTCAACCTTTGATGAGCCTATTGTATTTTATCCAGATCAGTAACTCCCATAACTAAATTGCGTAAAAAAAATGCACATGTTTTCATGTGCTTAGGCACTTTAATACAGTACGTATCTTTTAGTTATTTGGTTCTGAACCATTTTGATTTTGTGTAGACTTTATCTTCTTTTCTGCAAAACACTTCGATTATTTTTTATCAGAATTTGGCAATAAGAGCTAGTTTGATATTCCCTTGTAAAGGAAACTGAAATTAATTCATTTTCTTATTTGGTATATTCGCACTAATAATTAATAATAAAAAAAATCACATTTTTTTATTATTAATATGCAAACAAAAAAAAACGGCATTTCGTATTATTTCGTTCTCCATATCTTAAAAAATTAAAAATAATATGAAACAGTATATTTTTTATAAACAAAACAAAACTGAAAAAATAAAAATAAACCAAGAATTATTTTCAATACTACATGCACATGTAAAGTTTGGATTAGTTGAGACCCAGATCCATGATTTAGAGGTGTGAACTTAGTTTGCGTATCCTCAAAATTTTAAAAGCTGTATTATGCGCCAATCCTAATCATCTATTTATTTTTTTTGGAAAACCTAATCATCTATCTCTGATTGACAACTGTGTTGTTGAATCCCTTAACAGGAAAAGAAAATCTAAACAAAACTAAAACTAAAGAATTCAGCACTATGCCAATTTAACACTTCCAAGTACAAATAACCAAAAACACTTGCAGCGAGAACGATCACCAATTCCACAATCATTTCATCTCCAGCGAACTATAGGCTAATTATGGTACCAATTCCACAAAATTGGTATCCTTCAGTTTTACACTAATAAGTAGCATATTTGGCATTGTCAGAAAAGAACTTTTCTCACCGAATCAGATGACCAAAAGTTATTCCATAGAAACAATCAAAATGAAGGGACTATGTTAAGAGGCCTCAGATAATTTGGACACATCATAATCTAGAACCAGATAAATCAGCCAATGTAGGCAAATTCTTAAATCATCACTGACCTCACCCTCATCAACTTAGGATAATAATATCAACCAAGAAAAGGTTCCCTAAACGAAATAATAAATAAAAATCATCGTTACAAAAGCAATTGGTTTATTGAGTAAGCAAAAACAAGAAATACAATTAGGATTAAACATGATAAAAAAAAAATTCAATAAAAGGAGAAAGAGATCACTCAGTAGTGGCAATAAGGTTTATGGTTCGATTCAGCCAGCGGACTTCCTCAACTTAAAATTTCAGAAGAGGGAGCTTCTTTATCCTCATAGTGAAAACTCTTTCCCCAAACACAGACCTCCGATAATATTTAGTTTAAAAATCAAAATAAAATTGATAATTTCAAAGAAAAAAGGGGAAAAGAAAACAAGGTGATTTTTGGTTTTGAAAATAGAAGAGATCACTCAGTTCAGCGGGGTTGTCGACACGCAGAGGAATCTCCTAAGAGAGAAAACTATGCATTCCGGTCTGTTGAGCTTGAATTTCATGTGGTCATCACTGTGATCTCTTCAAAATTTAAAAGAATGAAATCATAAACAAAAAAAAATAAGGCAAATACAGAAACCAGAGAGCTGCAGATGAAGAAGTTCTCAACAACGGCGCTGTTAAACTGTGCACGAGCTCTTAATTTATAGCAAGTATTTTTAGGGTTTCTGACGAAGAGTGGGAATGCGGTCTGCGATTGAGAGGGGAAACGACGACGTCAGCTTGCAATTTTTAATGGACAAAATAATCCTTCCCAAATTTATTAAATTATTATTTTTAATTTTATTTCAATTGAATTATTTCGTTATATGAACAAATAAAGAAGCTCATATTCGTCGTTTTTTCCTTCTTAATTTCTCTTACTTTTCATTCAATAATATTATTTACAAAATTATTTTTTTAAATATGAAAGTATATTTTTTAAAGAAGCTCAAATAAAGTTTTTTTTTGTCAAAATGACAAATTTAGTTCCGGTTTACTGAGGGGAAAACGGTATCACGCGGATTTATTGGGCTTAACATAGTAGATGTCATTTGGGCCCATTGAATAATCTATAACACCGGAATGACTTACCTTCGTTTGAAAGGGGCAAAAGAAAAGAAGAGATAAAAATTTTAAAATATGAAAGGAAAAATTAGAGATTTTGAAATTTTTGTTTGTTTTCTGGACTTACTATTTTGACTTCAAGCAAACAAAATAGACTTTTAAATTTCAATTTTTTTGTCCCAACTCTATTTTAAATGTCAAATATAGGATTATTTGACACGAGTGTCAAATGAAAAAAATTGACATCAAACTTTAACTGTTGATTTCCGTCAATCTAATGTTATAATTTACTAGAAATTAATAATTTATTAGAAATTAATAATTAATTAATAAGTGTGATCCAATAAATTATAACCGTTAAATTCATAGAAATCAACGATTAAAATTTGGTGTCAAACTAAAAAGTATGACACTAGTGTCAAAGGAACTTACTCCATATATAACTGTTGATTTCGTGAATATAACGATTATAATTCATTGGGTCACACTTATTAATTAATTATTAATTTTCAATAGCTTAATCAATAGATTGGCGGAAATCATCGGTTAAGATTTAGTGTCAAACTTTTTAATTTGACACCGGTGTCAAATGATCTTGTTTATATATATATATATATATATATATATATATATATATATATATAAGAGATAGGATCCTTTGACACATCATCTAAGAGCCGTTAGATAAAAAAAGATCAATGGTGTCACATGCTTACAAATCAAAGTCGTTGATCTTTTTTGATCTAATGACTCTTTAGATGGGGTGTCAAACTTAAAATTTGACACTGGTGTCAAAAGATCTTACTTCTATATATATGTGTGGTGTGGTGGTGGTGGGGGGGGGGAATATTTATCTTTTTTAAACGATATAAATCTTATGTCATTTTAGATTATAACCGTTGATTTTCGTCAATCAACAGTTATAAATTATTGGATCAAACTTAATAGGGAAAACTTATTATGAATTAATTAATAATTTTGACCTAATAAATTATAACCATTGATTGACAGAAATCAACGATCAGAATCTAAAATGACACAATGTTATATCTTTTAAAAGGATAAATATTTTTCCATATATATAGGATAGAATCATTTGACACCAGTATCAAACTTTGAAATTTGACACCAAATTATAACAATTGATTTCTGTCAATCAATAACTATCATTTATTTAACATTAATGATTAATAAATAAATTTGATTTTCAATAAATGATAATGGTTAATTGACGAAAATCAACAGTTATGATATGATTGTAATAATTTCTAAACAAAAATAGATTGCAAGTATAACATTAATCTTCAGATTATATATAAATATTCATCCAAGTTTACAATTTGAAATTATCCTGATTGATGTCGTGAGATGTGGAGGCCGTTGAATCACCGCTTAGTACATACCGTGTTACACGCACTAGATGTGAAGTTAAGCTGGTTGATACCGTTTAATATGCTGCTATACAATTAGAAATTTTTAATTTACAAGCACGGAAACAAAGAGTCAACATCAGGGATGGAGCATTGAACTTTCGTTATCTTGGGGTTGGAAATTGGAATGTGAAACTACTCGTGGAACACATTCCTTGCTTCCTTTCCACAAAAAACTCTTTTTCAAGTTAAAAAGCAGACCAATTATGTGCTTTAACAAGCTTAGAAGCAAGCACAAGCGCCCATCACCCCCTTTCATGGCCAATCACAAAGAAAATACCCAAAAAACTAATCACAAAGCAAAGCACCATTATTGCTCAAGGAAAAGGCTAAGAGCGCGTGCAATTTTCGTGTATTTGTAGCAATAAAATTATGAAAATTCATCCCCCCTAATGCGATATACCAATGATCTAGTACCTATATTTTTTGTTACATCAAAGTCACCAAAAGAGTCACGCTTGCTCCACTTTTCGCACTGTGAATTGTACGATGCGTCACGCAAGGAAATCGTGTTTTATTCGATATCATCAGAAATTAAGTTGTTGTTGCAAGAACCATATATTCTCTTCGTTCCACAAACTCTCCAATGAGTCACCACCACCACCACCATTACCCTGTTCAAACATTTGATTATTCATACTTGGCCATATATCCGAACCCTTTTCAAGTCTATGAACCGAGACATCATGACCCAACAGTTCCGAAGAATCGCTATGGTCCGAATTTGAAGGAACTTGCAACTCCACGGACGATGAGTCCGAGGATGCACCACTTGAGCTGCAGTAGCGGTTCGGTTTTTCCCCTTCTGCTCCTGACTCTAAACTTTGTAACCCGTTTTTGTAAAAAAAGACCCGAACTCCACTTGGGTCTGGGCCCACTTGGGATGCGGGCTGAACCCGCTCAAGCAAACGGGGCATCCACACGTAACGCAACGCGTCCCTAAACTGTTTGCTGTTGACATCGCAGTTGAGTTGCTTCGCCTGTTTCATGACTCTGGTCCTCCAATAATTTTTTATTTCATTGTCTGTTCTTCCTGGCATGTGCTGAGCAATCTTCGACCACCTATTAAAACATTATATTATATATACATCTCAAACTCGTAAAACATAACAACCGTAAATAAGATATAAGAGTGAAATTAAAGATGTTAGTGTTAATTAATAACGGTTAATAAGAATAAATTTTTATACCTATTGCCCCACCGAGAATGAAGTTCAAGAATCAATATTTGTTCTTGGAGTGTGATATTTCCACGTCGCACATCTGGACGCAAGTAGTTTAACCATCTTAATCTGCAACTTTTCCCACTTCTCCTCAAACCTGTATATTTTTGGTTTTAGATTTATTATAATTGAAAAAACTGTGACAAAAATGAAATTATATAGAGTTAATAATATATTTAAAGAATTAGAAGAAAGTATATACACATGCCTGCAGAACGTGCGACGGAATTCCAGTGACCTTCACCGTTTGTGGCGATGTAATTGACGAGAATGGTATCCTCATCAACCGTCCATGGACCTTTTCTCATGCCCATCTCGTTTTCATTCTGCTGCACCTGTCCCTGTGTTGCAGTTGCAGACCCACCTTTCTTAACCTTAGTATCCATAACTCTCATATATGCTAGTGTCAAAGTGCAACAAACGTGTGTGGGATTTGGAATTAATTTGTTGATAGATGGTTTCACCTAATGGGGAATGTGGTCGAGTTATATATAGTAGAGTCGGATAAGTATAAGCACGCTCCAGGGACCAGTGACTGAGTCCACGGAGACAGCACCACATTCCATGCATCTAGTTTTTAATTATATTATCAAAATTTTATAATTTTAATAATATATTATAATTGTTTGAAGCAAATATATTGTGACAACATGTTACTATCAAGTGACTACTAATCAATCTTACCGTTAGATCAATTATATTGATTCAACAGTTATATTTATTTCTATCTTTATATGTTTGTGTAAAATTAATATTATTAGTTTAACGATTAAGATGGAACTAAACTAAGCTTGCTATTTGGGATTTGACCGGTTGACTCTTGCTTATCCTTCTGAGACACGCGCGTAGAAAGCCTACTGCAGATTGTGGCGTACTTGGTATCTCATAAACATGTCACGCTCTTGCTCAAAATAATAATAATACAAATTCGTATTCTCTTTCTCCTTTTCTTCCTATTGTTCAAACGGACATAGTAACTAAATTTTTTATTATTTGTGAATTCTAACACATAATCATGGCATAAATATTGTTTTATTTTAATGCAATGAATAAGCATTTAATAATATTTTTTTGACCAGGTTTAATAGAATAATTTAATAGTAACTATAATGGAATAAAATATTTGTTAATGTTTTAGTGTTATCAATTTATCTTACAATCCCTATCTTCGACATGTAGGATATTAAATTATTAATAACGAGAAATGGTATTTGCACATAGTGTTTATGGGATGAATGAAACAAGTTTAGCTAGTCTAAATCTGGCTCAATATTTTAATATTTCCCATTTTGTTGACCCGAGCATGTTTTAAGTTGACTCGATATTTTTGACAAAATATATTACTTTAAATATTGTAAACAATTAAATTTAATATTTCAAAATTATATATAAAACAAAAACTAATGAATTATGTATTATTTGATAATATTATATTTGTGGGCACCTTGTTAATATAATATTATTATGAATTATTTAATATTGCTCCCTTTTAATTGTTATGGTAATATGTATTTTCAATACACGTTTAAGAAAATAAAGTTGAATGAGAAAAGTACTTATCGGATACTTTTTTATTTGTATAGGGTGCCGAGCTAGTTAATTAGATATATACATCAAAAATTAGAAATTTGTTAAATAATGCACATGATATTTATGTGTTTATATTTAGATATATTTTCTTATTATCAATATTTGATTTGCGATTTTGATGGCTAGATATATGTTGCACATTACATTATTCTTTATTATTTTTTCTGAATATATTTTGAAGAAAAGTTTAATGAAAAATTTAATTTGTTATATTTTGCATCAAATGATGATGCTACTTGAATGTTGTTACACTACAAGAAAAATGGCATTTCACCACGGCAATTTAGTATTGGTAAAGAACGTTGCAATCTGTAGGTTACAGCAAGTTGCATCCCGTTTCTTGGCCTCTGACACCTTTGGCTAGCTTTTAATTTTCTCCCGTTGCATTTTTTTTGTAAGCTTAGGGGGAAAACCCACAACACAAGATAAAATTACACAACAGAAATAGTCTGAGGTCTACAAACAGATGCTAAATCAGCGTTAAATAGGAACTCAATACCAGGGGGCGGGGAATTGAACCTACACATATCAGGACCAACAGAATTAACTATGGGATAATTAGCCAACCAATCTGCAATATTATTGCCTTCTTCATATGTATGCCTCAAGTGAATTGTCCATTCCTTTGCAATCCATGCCCGTATCCGAGAAATCAAATGACTCTCGCGGGCTGCATCACCAGAATTGGTGAGCAAAGTGATAGCAGATAACGAATCACTTTCTATAATTATTTTCCTCCAGCCAAATTCTCATGCTAACTCAAGACCCTTAAGAATACCCCAAAACTCAGCATTTAAAGCATTACAAACTCTAATTCTATAAGAAAAACCATTTAACCATTGACCAGAAGCATTGCGAAAAACTCCTCCATAAGCCGCCAAACCCGAATCACCCTTTACAGCTCCGTCCGAGTTGAATTTCACCCAATCAGCTTCCGGAGGATGCCAACAGACCAGAATGCTAGCCTTAGTGCGCATTAGATGACTCTTCTTAGCAAGATGGAAAGCTTCTTGAAATTCATAAGCTTTAGATTCCACCAAGTATTTCTTATAGTGATGATGGGAATTTGTTCCACCAAAAACCTTTTCATTCCTCCAAATTCAAGCCATCCAACAAGTAGTTGCAAATATTGTATGCCATGGAATGATACCATTAAACTTCTCAGAACTCAGCATATTACCCTGCAGCCAAATCAACAAACTGTTAGAGAAAAAAGAGTTATAGATATTGGTTAGAACGAGCTCTGTCCAAAGGTTCCGGATTTTATTGCAATCCCTTAAAAGATGAATGATGCTCTCCGGTTCCTCCAAACAAACAGGAAAAGATGAAGTCCCAAATTGAATTTCCACAATCTTTCTCTAGTAGAAGTTTGTTGTGGGACACTTTCCAGAGGAATAATTTGATGGCTTGAGGCCCCTCCCACCTCCAAATGTTTTTCCACCAAGTTTCATTAACTTGTATAGAATCATTATCTTCCATGAGAGTCTCATAAATTCTTTTGACTGAAATTCCAGCTCCATCTCCTAAACACCAACGCCTCTGATCTGGTCCGTCAAGAGAATTAGGTGGGAGTAAACTTTTAATTTTCAACAGAATATTTTGTGGCAGCCATCTAGAAAGAGATTCCAAATCCCACTTGCCATGATTATTCACATACCCAGTTAATTTTTCCCTATCTCTTCCCATGGAATTGGAACCATCGTTACATCCATAAGCCTTCCTATGTCTTTCATCCAGATATCTTACCAAAAAAAATACTGTTCTCATAACCTATTTCCCAAGTGAGCTGATTTTCTAAAGTTTTCCAAACCATACAGATGTGTTTCCAAAGTCTAGAATCAGAACCAGAGCTATGAAAATGTCCACCCCATTATGATGCCTACCATACTTTGCACGAAGGGCCTGGACCCAAAGAAGATCCGGTTGGGAAAATACAGCCCAAGCAAGCTTACCTACAAAGGCATCATTCATCTTAGATAGGCACTTCAACCCCAACCCACCAGCAGCTTTTGATTTCATTAGAGTATTCCAGCCAATCAAATGGAGTTTCATTTTATTATCTGTATCTCCCCAAATAAATCTTCTTTGCATTTTCTCAAGCTCATGACAAATCGATAAAGGTAATTTATCACACTTCATTTGATAATAAGGAATAGTGGCAAGAACATATTGAGTAAGGGTTATTCTGCCTGCTTGTGATAAACACCTTGATTGCCACCCATTTAATCTATCCTGCACCTTTTCCACTATGTTCCTGTATGCCTCTTTTGAAACTCCGCCATGGTTCATCCAAACTCCCAGATGCCTCCCCACATTTCTGACTCTTTTAAAGCCACAAGCATTAGTAATCTCCTCTGCAGTATTCTCTGGAGTATTTTTAGAGAAAAAAATACTAGTCTTTTGATGACTCATTTTTTGCCCAGAAATTTCTTCAAACGGCTTAAAACATTTCCTGATTGTTTCAATTTGTTGGAGATTAACTTCCGCAAAAATTATTAAATCATCTGCAAACATCAAATGAGAGACTGGAGGACCCCCACTCCTAATTTGGATCGGATTCCACAGACCCCATCAACAGCAGTGTTAACTATGTGACTGAACTTTTCCATTCCAAGCACAAACAAATAAGGTGATAACGGATCTCCTTGACGAATTCCACGGGAAGGCTGAAACTCATCAGACTTCACACCATTCCAGAGAATATTGAACTTAGTTGAAGAAATTGCAGCCATAATGATATGAATCATTTTTTCTGGAAAATTTAGCTCCATCATTATTTTCCTTATGAATTCCTAACTTAGCCTATCATAAGCTTTATCCAGATCAACCTTAATTGCCATGAAAGCTTTCTTACCTCTCATTTTGTGCATTGAATGAATTAGCTACTGCACTATAACAATATTATCTTGTATATGTCTTCTAGGAACAAACATAGATTGCACAGGGGAGATAATTTTTGTCATGATACCTTTTAGCCTCTGCACCACAATCTTTCTCAATAATTTATAAACAACTGGACAAAGAGATATAGGTCTAAATTGAGACATATTGGTCGGATTCTAAACTTTAGGGATGAGGACCAATAAAGTGGAATTTATAGTAGCTAATAGATCCAGATTCTCCCACAAAATAGTTATGTGCTTAGAAAATTGATCCTTCATTCCATCCCAATTTGCTTGAAAGAAAAAGGCTGGGATCCCGTCAACACCAGGAGCTTTATGAGATCCCATGTCAAACAAATTGCTTTTAATCTCATCTTGACTAGGGGACTTAGCAAGCATTCTCAATTCCTCTGTATTTAAAACAGGCCAGAGAACTCAAGAAGACAGCCATCTCCTATTAAAATTTTCCTCTGCAAAAAGCTTCTTATAAAAATCACAGGCCAAGTGCTTCAAATCTTCAAATCCTCAATCCAAATATTGGCATCATTTTTTAATCTAGTAATTTTGTTATGATTCCTTCGAACAATTGTATTGAGATGATAGAATTTTGTGTTTCCATTACAATCTACAATCCACTGTTGCCTAGACTTTTGAAACCAAAGGAGCTCGTCTTCTTCAAGTACCCTAGCTAGGTGTTGTTGAAGCTGATTCTCTCTATACTCCAGTCTGGTTGAATCATTTGCAACTCTAGCAGCCTGAATTTTATCAATTTGACTTGTTATTCTATCTTTTTTTCTATGAATGTCACCAAACACCTTTCTGTTCCAGCTACGCAAATGAGGCACCAGTCTATGCAGCATGTAAGGTATATCAAAAACAAGATCCCAATAATCATTAAGGAACTGATTAAACCTAGGATGATTTTTCCAAGCCACTAGGAACCTAAAGGGCTTATTACCTTTAGCAACATTATGATCCACAAGCTTAAGCAAAAGAGGATTATGGTTAGAATTAATCCTCGAGAGATGAGTGACTTTAGCATCTTCAAACAC